TGAGGAAGCATGGCCTGCCACAGGAGGTGCTACGACAGTTCTACACGGCAGTCATCGAATCAATCCTGTGTTCTTCCATCACAGTTTGGTTTGGGGCCGCCACAAAAAAGGACAAAATCCGACTTCAACGGACAGTTACGACGGCGGAAAAAAGTCATTGGCACCGCCCTACCCACTCTTGAGGACTTGCAAGACACTGCAAGAATCAATACAAGGGCACGGAAAATCCTACTGGATCCCCCGCACCCTGCCCACCACCTTTTCCAGCTACTCCCCTCAGGCAGGCGCTACCGATCCATGCACACCAAATCCAGCAGACACTTGAACAGCTTCTTCCCTCTAGCCATTAACTCCATAAACAGTCACTGACGTATGCTCCACCGCACCAGACACTTCAAAGCGCTCAAGGACATCTGCACAATTGCACACTTCTTGTCCTCCAAATACTGCTACTGGTCACTTTAAAATGGTTCAATGATTTTCTGCACCAACTGTACAATTGTTGTAGTATTGTATTCTACCACTGATCACTTTAGCTCTGCTTGATACTTTGCACATTGTCTCACAGTTGTCACGGGGTGGTATCACCGCATTTCGGTTCACTTACATTACGAAATGTCCTTCCATACTTAATTTTTCCATACTTATTTGTCATGTCCTTGTTTATGATGATACTAATGCAGCGTGTTATACCGGAGACAAATTCCTTGTGTGTTCTGCATACTTGGCCAATAAAGATGATTCTGATTCTGATTCTGATGCAAGTGCAAATGAACAGAAGTACTACAAATCCCCGCGGTCAAACCCGGAAGTGGAGCGGCGGTACTATCAACTCCAGCCATAATGCAAATTTTTCTTTTAAACTTTCCAGTGCAGCTGGATAAACACTACATGGCAACTATGCAAAAAAATAAATAAGCGTAAAGACACCACAGTAATCGAAAGACGTTTGCCCACGTTTAAAATGCTGATTGCGAACAGGCACGAACTGTGATCGTGATGTAGCAAACATAAAGCGCTACGGACACAACGCATAGCAGACAAACAAAGCAAGTGAGTATGATTAAATCTAAAAGGTAACTTGACAGATCTGACAAAGACAAGCGGCCACAAACGTAGCTTACCATTGGGGCCATGCTGATGACGAAGTGAGTGATTTATCAAAAGAAACAAACTGCAACACCGGCCCGATTAAAGACAACAGTGTGTGTGTGTGTGTGCGTGTGCGTGCGTGCATGGCCAGCGCTAGCCATTTTGATGCCCAAAGCATAAATGCTTAATGGTGCCCCCACCCCCCACACATCCCCTGCACCACCCCTGACAGAAGTGAAGATTATCTGAGTGTTTTTCAGTTTTGCTTTATTTTCCAAAATAACATGTTTATTACCAGGCATTAATGTTTCAAAAACTTTCAGAAAAATAAGAGATAAATAATTTTTAAATGTGACATAAAACACCAAGAATGGCATCAAATACAGAAATAAATCAAAATAAATACAGAAAAAAAATAAGAACCCCACTACTCAAATAAATTTCAGCCGACATTTAAAATAGAGGTACATGAAAATTTCTACATTCTGCCTTGATAGACAAGGACTGATTGGGCTCAATATTCTGGACATAATGTCAAAACCGTGAATATGAAACGGAGAAATTGACACAGCTTTGCAGTTGTTGCATATAAAACAACTTTGTCTCGTAACATTCCATTTAATTTTCATAGTATAATCAATCAACCTTTATCAGAAATAATACATCCTGTTATTATTATAATTCCTATGATTCTGATTTTTTTTGTGTGGTGGGGGTGGTACTGTGGTCGGAAACACGTAGATTTATTAAATATATATGAATAATCTGGGTACATGTACAACCACCTTAAGCAGTTAAACCCTTAGAGGTAAGATCGGGCCAAAAAAATCCAGCCCGACCCGACCCGGCCCGCTGGTATTTCAGCCCGACCAGGCCCGAGCCCAAAGCAAACTCGAAATTTCGTATTTTATTTGTGAGGACTTGGAGGAGGAGGGTTGATTTATGATAACAAAATAAAGCCTGTCTTTTGTCACGAAATCTAAGTTAAACAAGACTGTATAAATATTTACATCTTTTATACATGTATTTCTGTTTCTGCAGAGGGTACATTAACAGACAATTTTCCATCATTGACGGATTTTTTTAAGAGTTGACGGGAAAAATTTAAGGCCGCCCGTCATTTTGACGGGTTGAAAATTGGGCCATTAGCCACAGCAGCAGTACGTCCTTAAGAATCTAGCGCGGCACTTTGAGAGAGAAGCAGAGAGACAAAGAACAATGATGGGTGGATAATAGACAGAGACAGGAAGAAGTTCTTTGAATTGTAATTGTAAGAGTTTAGTACAGTACGTGTTGTGATGAGGCGACTTTTTTTTTTTTTTTTGCGAACCACGGTCTCTCGTGGCCAAACCTATTCACGGCCTCGAAACGAAAAAAAAAGTCAGCGAGAGAGAAGCCCAACCCGACCCGAACCCGAAGCAATGATTGACATTTTAAGCCCGACCCGAAATTCGGCTCGGGCCGCCCGATCTTACCTCTATAAACCTTCTGCATTCCATGAAGGTGAAAGGTTAGAGGGTGCATGTGAGACCATCCCAAGTGCTGAGGTCATCTTACGGTTATCTGAACTGTTGAGGTCGTATACCGGTCATCAATCAGCATTTTGGACATGTCTGTGGAAACCTTACTTCTCTTTCTCAGCTCCGTTTCTATCTACTCTGGGGGAAGTGGTTCTGAACAGCAAGCCATTCTTTCTTTACACATAGCCAGCAAAAACAAGCATCATCCATATTTGAACATGTGGGAATTCAACACATGAATGCAAAGAATGTATGATCACTAAAAACATGAAAATAGGAGTGCGCACAATTATTCCTTCACATCTGCAGGTGCATTTCTCCCATGTCCCACCACTTTGCCATCTGAGTGCTGCCATGGATCATCTAAGGGGAAAAAACAAACAAAAAACAAAAAAATGGTCTGATGATCAGAAAATTAATCCAAAAGCAAATGAATACAATAAAGTTTCAGCCCATACCAGCTACTGCTTTATGTAACTTCCATACAAGGTGTTAAAATAAATGTAGATAAGTTATCCCATATTTAGTCTTATATTACTACGACACATTTATTCAGCAGGATGGCCTTGCAATGTTTCACTGAGAAAAACTGAAGAATAACGTTGAAAGGGGGCCAGCCGGTTCCCAAGCTTCGACAAGATAAGCCATTAAAGAGTCGATGTGCCACCCGAGGAATGTGAAGCCCCAAGAGTGAATTTATGACTTTCCTGAGTAGTCTATTGTATGTTGTGATTGTAGACTTCACTAACATTCTCAGACTGATATCAGATAATAACCTCTGAGGAGTGGAAATGACTACCTTGAGACGGCGCGTTCGTGACGTGCTTGCACAAATGAGTGCATTGTGTTCTGAACAAATGTCTTCTTTTTGTAGTCATTATTGTCATTAATGTGTCTGACGTATGTCTGTTTCCCCCTTCCAATCCCTGGCTGACAGTCCAAGGTAGAATTTGAGCTTTGGACTTATCCACCACTCCAAAATGTGCAACGTCAGACTCTGTACAAGTCTTTCCACAAATAACCAAAGATAAAAAAATAAACCGCCACCTGGGATAAAACTAAACAAAGAGAAAAATGCAACACCAATAAGAGATTCTGGTCATGTCACATAGTGAGTCGTAAGCTGAACTCATCTGGCTCTCCGAATACCGTTCATCATAAATTTAAACCATAATTCCAAGTGTGTTTGTCTTCTTGTGTCTTTCAGACATCAGTGAAGATGTTGGTCCTGAGCGGCAGGATGCAGAGCCCTCTCAAATTAAAGAGGAAGAGGAGAGCAGACAGGTCTCCCACTTTAAAGAGGAAGAAGAGAAGCAGGCCCCTTACATAAAAAAAGAGGAGGAGCCAGAGCACACTTGCACAAAAGATGGTGACAGCACATCGTCAAATGTTGATGATGATGATGATTACGATGATGAGAATGATGATGAGGATGAAGGGTCAGATGATGATCTGACATGTCACAGTCATAAGAAACCCTGGAAATGTGCTCGGTGTGGAAAAACGTTTGCTGATAAGCGTGCTTTGAAATCACATATGGGAATTCACATTGGTGAGAAACTGTTCACCTGTTCAGACTGTGGCCGGAAATTCTCTCAGAAGGGAAACTTAAAAAAACACACCAGAAGCCACTCTGGTGAGAAACCTTTTTCATGCACTGACTGTGGCCAAAGATTCACACGAAAGGATCACTTAAAAAATCACTCAAGACAGCACACTGGTGAGAAACCTTTCGCCTGCTCACATTGTGGCCAAAGATTCTGTCACAAGGGTAACTTAATAAAACACTCAAGAAAGCACACCGGTGAGAAACCATCCTGCTTTGTTTGTGGCCAAATATTCTCCTACGAGCAAAGCTTAAAAAACCACAGAAGAACTCACATTGTTGAGAAACCTTTCGCCTGCTCAGATTGTGGCCAAAGATTCTGTCAGAGGGCTCAGTTAATAAGACACTCAAAAACGCACACCGGTGACAAACCATTCTCTTGCCGAGATTGTGGCCAAAGATTCTACCGTTTGGTACACTTAAAAAGGCACAGAAGAACCCACACTGGTGAGAAAACTTTTGCCTGCTCAGATTGTGGCCAAAGATTCTCTCACAAGGAAAACTTGTCACAAAAGAACACATACTGCTGAGAAACCCTTTTCGTGCTCAGTTTGTGGCCAAAGATTCTCTCAGAGAGGAAACTTAAAAGTACACTTAAGAACCCACACTGGTGAGAAACCGTTTGCCTGCTCAGTTTGTGGCCAAAGATTCTCTCTTAAGGGAAACCTCAATGCTCACAAAAGAACCCACACTGGTGAGAAATCTTTTGCCTGCTCAGTTTGTTGCCAAAGCTTCATGTGGAAATATCAGATTAAGAATCACAAGTGTGTTGATGAGATGAACATTTGTCAATAAAGCTTTCACCTCTCATCTGACCAGGCTTCATGATTTCATGCAACGAGGCTGATTAAATTTTGTATACTTCTCTTTTTCTTGACTGCATTGAAAAGTTTTTTTGATTGTTATTGTAGTAATGAATTAGAAAATCTAACATTGTTATCGGGTTGATAATACTCTTGGATTTTTTTTTGGCTTTGCCTTGCGTTTTTTAAAATGCAGTATGTCTTAATTCATTTTCAGAGGGGGGTTGGTTGTTTGATTTAACTGTTGTTTTTGTTTTTAAAAATGGCACCATCCTTGACTATATCGCACCCCCATATCGAAATATGTTTTTTAATCGTCTATTACTGTATGCGAGCCGAAATATAATGGACATTTTCTAATTTGTCATGAAATTCATGATGTAGCCATACGTATTGTTGTTTGATACTGTGTGGTGCTTGCTGGCCAATAAAGTTCTCTTTGTTCAAAAAGCTTAAACCAGCCGAGTCTTCTTCAATATTGGTGATATTCATGACTGGTGATTGACTACTTCGTTGCTTTAAGATATAAAAAACGGAAGATATCCTGTATTTCAATGTTGACCCTCATCATAACATGTGTCAAGTAAGGTCAGAATGGAATTTTTGAACACCACTTTGAATTGGAAACTCCGAGCCCCATAGCCAGCAAAAAAAAAAAAAAAAAGGGACCTCAAATTCACTCATCAGAGATGATCCCCCGTAGACAAAGATTGAATTGCAAAATGTCATCCATCCATCCATTTTCTGATCCACTTATCCTCACGCGGGCATGCTGTAGCATATCCCAACTCTCTTGGGGCAGTAGGCCGGGGACACCCTGAACTGGTTGCCAGACAATCACAGGACACACAGAGAAAAACAACCATTCACACTCACAATCACACCCAGGGACAATTTAGAGCCGGTGTGTCAAACTCAAATACATAGTGGGCCAAAATTTAAAACTTGGACAAATTCGCGGGCCAACATTGACATTTATTTAAATTTTTCCTTCAGATATAACAATGAACCTCTGCATATGGACACAGACAATTTTGCTTAAACACTGAATATGGAACAAGCAAAGATGAATACTATAAAATATATAGCTTAATATTGCACATGTGCAAATTGCATTGAAAATTAAAAAAAAAATCAATGGCATTTATTTCTTAAATAAAATTTAAATAAAAATTGTATGCCTTTTTTATATGCAGCCTTCTGATTTAAATTTCAACAGTAACCTTTTACCACAGGCTAATAATAAATTAAAAACAATATCCTTCAATGAAAGTGCAACCATTCAAGCCCATATCTTGGAGTAGCAAGAAAGTGCTCAAAGAAAACAATAATTATTGCTCAGTTTGCGACACACTGATCTCCTCTGATGTGTTAAAGCCAGATACCTGGCATTGCTTTTTGGATTCCAGTTCATTAATGTCTGGGGTCAGGCTCTGAGCTGAGGAAATCCTTAGGATCGAGCAAAGGTGTTCATCAGTAAGATGTCTCCTGTAAGCTGTTTTGATTATCTTCATTGAGGAGAATAGTTGCTCACATAGATAAGTGCTGCCGAACATGGAGAGCTGAGGCATTGTGTCAGGGATGAAATGTGGAAACTGTGCAGCATCCACAGCCTCATACTTTGACTTCAGCGTGTCACTACACTGGATACAAACGGATTGCTCAGCAGTTCAAACCTACATTTCTGGACATCAAAGTCGGCAAATTTCTGGGCAAACTCAGCACAGAGTACGTGGAGTTTCTCAGCAAACTGCACGTGGAAACGCGGTAGAGATGTGCCGTAAAATGGTTTAGCAGCAGGGAAAATGGCCCAGGTTTCCTGGAGCATCTGATTCTCCACAGGCACTGTTTATTTTTAAAGGCCCTCACTGGAGCATACATGTCTGTGATGATACTTCCCCTCCCCTGAAGCTCCAGGTTTAGTGCATCAAGATGGTTTGTGATGTCACACAGAAAGGCCAGTTCACACAAAAACTTTGGCTCACGGAGCTCCACTCTGTCTTTCCCTCATGCAGCTCGAAACGTCTGTTCATTACTTTGCCTCTGTTTAACCATCTCACTTCTGTGTGACACAGTACATCCTTGTATTCCAACCACATTCCTCCAGAAAAGAGTTGAACTGGTGGTGATTTGGACCATTTGCACTGATAAAGTTCACTACTCATGTCACTGTGGTCATAACATGTTCCATCTTTCGGGCTTTGCCACACAGTGATTCTTGATGAATGATGCAGTGGTAAACAGTTAGCTCACCAGCACAGTTCTCCAACTGCATCATCTCCCGAACCCTCCCCACCGTCTGTCGTTAGTCTCACAAGTTTGTCCCACGGCAGCTTCATTTCAGTGACATAGGTGGAAACCTCTTCAAATATGTCATTTTCTGTGGTGGTGCTAATCACTGATTTGAATTCCAAAAGTTCCTCTGGAACACACATATTTGAGTCCACTCCACGGATGAAGACTGACAGCTGGGCAGTATCACGTGTCGCTGCTCTCATCCACACCAAGGGAGAATGCAACCAAATGTTTTCCCTTTTCCATCAGCTGCTCAAATGGGTTGGTGGCAAGATCACGTGTGCGAGCAGTGATTGTGTTTCTGCTCAGGCCCACATTTGAAAATGTTTTCTTTTTCTCTGGGCACACGAGATCACAAACTACAATGAAAGTCCTCTACAACGAAACCTACATGGGCGAAAATACCCCCTAATGTGAAAAAAATCTTCATGCATTAACACCATTCCCACTCTCCTGCTGTCATGATTCGGTTTGGGAACAACAGGTGGCACTGTAGGGCTCCCCCTGCAGCTGCACACCTGTTGGTCGTTACGTAATTAGTTCTATAAAAGGACTCCCTCATTGTCGGGTCATTTTTGCTCTTTGCTGCTGTCATGTTTGATTGTTTGTCATGTTTAGGTCATGTTATTGTTATTGATAGTTTTGAGCTTCAGTCATGGTTTTTGTTTGATACTTTGGACTTTGTTTAGGATTTAATTTTCTGTGTTTTATCAATACACTTCTTCAAATACACCCTGCTCCTCCCTCTTGCCTGCTTTTTGGGGTCCACCACCACCAGGCAATGTGACAGAATGACCCGACCACCTGGACCCCGCAGGTACAAAGGACTGGTCCCTATTCCACCATGTGCCTGGCGCAGCACGTCTGCGGCCGACACCCTTTACCCCTTCAGGCAGCGCTGGTCTTGCGGCTGTCCCATGTTCCCCCTTCAGGCAGCGCTGGTGATGCGGCTGTCCCATGTTTTCGTCTTGTCAAGCCACGTCTAAGGGGGGCCCGGGCCCCGTCG